TTGTCATGCGGCCAGGAGACTGAGACCTCAATAGGGAAAAAGCACGTATACCCGCCTGGTGCGATAGAGTCCTCTGGAAGGGATCGAATCTACGTCAGATTCATTACAGCACTGCGAACCTGCAATTCTCCGATCATAGGCCAGTTTGGGCCGTATTTACATGCATGATCAGCATTGTTAACGAGGAAAAGAAAGCCCACCTGCAGCATAAGCTTTATAGCAAATACCGGCAGAGCACACGCGCTGTAGTCGCGAGTGAGCCCAAAAACGCAGATGCCAATACTGGAAAGCTGTATCACTCAGGAATTGCTACGCGGACTCAGGAGTCAGCTACTAGCGCTGCATATGACAAATGGTGGTTAAGCCATGGTCAGTCACAATGCCATTCTCTGATCTATGAAAGCCCACGCCACCAGTCCAAAATTATCTGTTATACTCACACTTCTCATATCATGAACTAGGCGAGTCTGTGCGGTCACAGGTGGTACCTCCCTCCAACAACCTTATCTGGAATATTCAACGTATACCAAATCCCTTTTCCTGGGACGACAACGATTGGGCTCAAGTATCGCCGTCTACTGCAATCGAGAATAGTGCACTCAAACCCCCTCTGCCACCAAGGATGAATCTTCCAGAGTATGAAAGACATCGGATCTCCTATGAATCAAAGCGAGAGCACATTGCTACTATCGAAGTGCCTGGAGAGCCGTATCAGGATAATCCAAAATCTCAGAAAACGAGTAAAACAGCTTCTTGGATGATGGAATCAAACCATACAAGTCCACCGCTACCGGTAAGCACGACACAAACACTTGCGGGAGACAATTCGCGTGGACCGTACAATTCAGGCCCACATAATATCGCTGAGCGGTTGGTGACCCATACGGTCAGTGAACTCCATGCGTTGATATTTTTCGGTTTACCAGATATATTATACTAAGCCTGTAATTGCATTACAGAAACATGATCTATTGGGCGAAGCCATCAATGATAGGCTCACTTGGGAACCGCTCGATCCCGAAAAATAGAATCTTGTCTTTACCTAGACTCACAGATGATTTAGTACTATCTGATCTGCAGAGCCCGATCCACTGGTATCAAATAAACTCTTGATGTTACATCACCCTGCCACTATTTATAGACGTACTTGGTAAAATCCTGCGGTAACGTAGACCGACTTCTTCGGCTTTACTTCAAGACTCTATAAGTTTAACATAACCATATATACAAGGCTACAGCCAGCATGATGTACCAATGCCAATTTGCGGTAGTCGGAGTATAGGATACCCGCAAACGTTGACTGATTCACCCACTTTTCAAAACCATCTGGAGTAGCTCTGAGGTTAACCTGTTCTCCTAACGGCAAGCAAGCATGCTAGACATCGGAGAGGATGACCACGCATAAGCACAGCCATGGGCATGAGAAACCAATCCCGAACAAGCGGGAGGAAAAGCCATGCACCCCTAAAACAGAGACCCTAATAAGCGACTTAGAAATATCGAGTTCGTCACAAATTGCTGAGGAACAACGGTCAGCTTTGTTGTGGGTCAATCTTGTTGGACCGTTCACTTACCTGATTGTTTGATTACTCCATGGCGAATGGAAGTAGTAAAGACAATGTTATCATAACAGGCAAGCAGTGCAAGATAACCCTGTTGCATGTTATGATACGCAATCTGAGAGCGAATCACAAGTTCCTTAGTCACTTTACATAACACGGCAGGAGATACCGTGCTGGACTGCCTTAGGCTTTTTTCCCATTTTTAAAGCCTTGTTTAACCTTAGGCGATTGCCTCCAACCATCCACATTGCGAAAGCACCAGGGTCCGGAGCCTTTGCCCGTGGCTTTTTGGGACCTGCATAATGTTATTGAAGAGAACATGGTGGCATGCATGCGCATCGTAGAACATCCTTGCACAACGTGATGACAGAGACCTACCTGCTTGGTCGGGTTTTTTCTTGGATACCTCATCGACAACGACTGCAGACTCATCTGTAACTGCCGTAGGCTCAGGTGGAGGGGAGGGTTCTGCAACTACATCTGCTGGTGGGGCAGGCTCAGCGGCTTGAGGTTTCTCTGGTATGGGCCACATATGCATAGTTATGGTCCAATCTGGTTCAATAACAGTCTCCCAAACTTGAGGCAGAATTATGTCGCCATTAGGGCCAACCAGATCATAGTGTCCTTCAGCGACATGAGGACCTATCACCTCGATATGAAGGAATGCCTGTCGTATAAGCTCTTCCATGCCCTGAAATAATGTTTAGCCATAGATTGTATTTCATACATTAAGTCTTCCTCACCTTCCAGGTACAGCACAGGTCGAAGGGAAAACTGAACTTCCTCCCGACTGCATCCTTGAACTTTATCGGCTTCTTTTTCTCCGGAGGTGGAGGGTTCGCAGCGGCTGCTGTTGCAGCCGCGAGCGCTTCTGCAGCTGCCGCATTCGCTGCCTCTGTGGCAGCAGCAGCAGCAGCTTCTACCGCAGCAGCTGCCGCATCTTCTGCTTCTTTCTTGGCTTTTGCGGCTTCCTCCGCAGCTTTCTGCTCGGCCTCCGCCCTTGCTTGTGAGGCAGCGTCCTCCGCAATTTTCTTCTCGTGCGCGGCACGTGCCTCTCTCGCAGCTTGCTCAGCAGCTTCCAGTTCGATCGCAGCCTGTTTGGCAGCCTCTCTGGCTTCCCGAGCTTCGCGCTCCGTCCTTTCCTCCAATATCAGTTTTTCAAGTCTTGCAATAGCTTCATCCTTCTCTGTATCAGCAGGTGCGGGGACAGGGGATTCGGGTGGATCGACTTGACTAGGAGATGGCGCGCGAGGATATGAGTGGTAATAAGGCGGAATCATCCCAGGTACCACATGGTAAGGATCCCTGAAAGGATAATAGGTCCCTGGGCCATATGGTATCATCATGTCGTGGGGGGCATAGGGAGGCGGACCATGTCCTGACATATGGTGTGATATTGAATGTGGGGACGGGTTGTGCCCTTCGTTCCGTCCATGAGAAGCGGCTGCGATAGGGTGTGGTTGATGTCCTGGGTGGCGTTCATGGGCTAGAAAAGGGGGCAGAGGAGGACCAGGTGATTGGGAGTTGTACCCGTACATCGATTGACCATACGGTAATTGTTGGCCTTGATGACCAAGTCTTATCAGTTGGTCCGATGTAGTCGCAACGCCATTGGGGTGCATAAACGCAGCATGCGGTATGGGGTTCCCGTTAGGATAGACGTATGATTGTCGCGGGGAGGAATGATGATTGTACCCTGTGCCCTGAGGCACGGTTGACCAGAATCTCCGCTCCTGAGGCATACGCCCATATGGAGCACCATATTCCTCAGCCGAGTCTGCGCTCTCAGGGGAGTCCGGCGAAGGATTTCGACGAGAACGCCTGAATGAGTCTCTTTCCGGTGCCATGTGATGCCTTGTTGACTGGCGGCGAACGGCAGACGAAGGGCCATGAATTGAACTACGTGCACGTAGGCGGCGTGATGTTCTGGGTCGAGAAGCGGAATCTGATGGTTTTAATTCATCCGGATATGATAGATGCGCCCATTCGTCGTAAGAATCTTGGTATCCATGGCTCTCAGACTCAGAAGGAGGAGAAACCTGCACTCCAGAAGAGTCTTCTTCATCGGAGATAGAGGATTCCGAGTCGGGGTCAATTCTGATATTCAGTCTATTATCTGTCAGGACGCAGATAGCTAGTATCAAGAGCAGCAACGCACGTCATTGGGTTCAACTGATTTTCAGAGCTCTCTCTAACTCTCGTCGTCTTTCGCTGTGTCTACTGTAAATTGACGTCCAAGCTTAGTTTGCGCAAGCAGTTGAACGCAAGCCGACCGGAGATGGAAATTCAGAGGCCAGGATGAATAACCCATGAATTCCTCAAGGTTGACACTGTTACCGGTCGAGGGACAGATGCTCGACAGTCGAATCTTGGGGATGAAGATAAAACTGAAGATAAATTCAAAAATCCCCGATTGCTCTGGACGTTCAGAACGGTGTTCACTATCCTCAAGTGCTATGTGAAGAGCCAGTGTTTTCTTCGCACAATAAGCAAAGTACGATTAGATGCTGGCAGAATTCCAGTCAATAGCTGGCTTCAGTGCAGACACAGGCAGCGGATCAGTACGGGTGCACGAGGGAAGCAAGCATGTACAAGGAAGTTATAATGGAACAACCATACCTCTATGATTCGATGCATTAGATGAAGGTCGCGTTAGCTAGGAGGAGGCGAGAAAGGGGGGTTGGCACTCGAAGATCAAAGGAGAATGAGGGTAAGGGGAGGGGGAAAAGTAGAAGGAGGATGAGGAGTAGAAAGTAGATGGAATCTCGCCGAGGACTGACAACAACGAAGAATGTGAAGAAACTACTGCCTGATCGAGACGATTTAAGGCCTCGCGGTGGAGATTTGGGCATGGCAGGCATTACACCTATTCCCAAATTTGAATATTGTCGTCATTGGTGGTACTATTAGGCACTGAGTTGGCAACCACTTTTCTTCTCTACCCATAAGCAAAAGTAGTGTAGTGCTGCCCGAGTGCCCAATGAAGAATCTAAGTCCATGCCAATGGGTTGTACAAACGGATCGCCCCTCTCCTTTTTCTATGCTCTTCCCTCCTGTTGTTACATACCAGTTATCTATTCGTTTCGCGTCAGATGCCGCTAGTATGTAAATTATTTGCGCGTAGCGCATCAATAAGAATCTGGAAAACCGCACTCGGAGCGCCCAGACTCAATCTGTGGCAGACGCTCGGCTGGCGCTCACTCTGCCGTGGAGCCTGGAGTGGTACTGTACCTACCTTACCTTAATGCAGGTAGGGAGGGCTTGGGGAGACGTTGTCCTCATTGGCCAGTCAGAGACGTCATGTCATGTCTTACAAGCGCCTGCACGCAAGTGACTCATCTACGTTCGCTAGTAGTGAGCGAGACACTAGTTACGTCAGAGATCAGTTTGGCCCTGGCCATCGCTAAAGCATATTTAAGTCCATGTGTTATGTTACATTCAATCGCTAGCGCGACCGAAGCGATCGAGAAGCTCCTTCACGGCTATAAGCTCAGCTTGACCGTGCTCCCATAAGTGATGATCTGACGAACGTCGAGCCACAATTTCCTCGAGACGATTCCTTGCAAATGTGTTGAGACTTTTCAGCGTATCGGTTGATATGGAACTTGCGGAGACTGATGACTCTTCTTGGTAGTCCGTCTTTTTCTCGAGCAGGAGTGATGTTGCCTGTCATGGTATGTATCAGAGGCAAAAAATCGCGGAAAGAAAGATATTGAGGGATACTTACGATAAACAGACCATAGAGGCCTCTCAAGTAATCGCCACAGAGTTCGATACTTCGACAGAAATACCGAATGGATCTGCGTAAAAGATGACAAGCATTTCCTACGTCGGTCGAACTGGCGCACGAATACAAGACTTCTCCTAGCCGGCAATGTACCTGCGACGTGAGTGTCAGCTTTCCGTGAGTGTAGACCATCGACGGCAAAAATCATACATTCCAAGCGTTCGGGACAATCAACAGCGCCTCCTCGAGGCTGAAAACTGCCTGTGAACTCATCCCTTGAGATTGATACATATCTGCGAGTTCACACCACGCCTCCGCATCTGTTGGAACAGCATCCAGAAGTCTTATCAAGCCCGTAATGGCCTCCACTGGTCTATGCAGCGAACGCAGAAGTGCAACTCGGCGTTTTAAAATTGGCTACTAGGTGTATCAGCTTCGGATAGTGCCATGAACATATAGGAAGGTACAGACCAGGTTAACTGGGTCCCTGAACAGTATAGCGTCGTATTTGTGCAGACACTCCTCCAAAGCTGCGCGATCTTCTGCAGTAGCTTCTTCGTGTAAGCCCCGCAATGCTATCAACTTGTCATTCGAAGAACCAAACCGGCTCGCTAGTCTATCAATGCACAAGAGAGCGGATCTATCATCCCCTGTTTGTAAGCATGCAAAAGCAAGTTGCTCCAAGAGATCATATGACTCATGATACTGGCGTTTCAGAAATGGCACAACTAGAATATCATCACCACCTGGAGAGTGCTGTTCAAGTATTCGAGGCGCTTGTTGTGAGAGGCGAGAGATAGTAATCAGATTCGAGCTATGTTCATACTGCATTTCAGGGGTATCATGCGCCATGGTATATCCGTCGCTGTTGGCTGGATAGATGAGAAGATTAGACAAGATACAATTTGTGTTAGCGTGAGCAGGAGACAATCAAAAAGTCGATAATAAGGTAGATAGAAGGTAACAGGAAGAGCAAGGACATACGTTACTATGCGGAGCTACTCCGCACCGGGGATAGTAGAGTTCTGTTCCCGTGACTTGGACGGAGCAGCTCGACGTAATCGCTCATGAACGGTAACGGAGTGTACAACATCTACAAGGCTGCTCCGAACCAGTGAATTGCTCTCAATATCACAGCTCATGATAGTGCAGAAGATCATCAACTTACTTGCGCTTCCTTCTACATGCTGTACACCGCCGAAGCATAATGTTGGTACCCTGGCCCAGAATGAGAACATAAACAACTAACACTCAATACATTAAGGTTCGAAAAGTCACTATATGACCTGATAAAGGGCCTTAGGAGCCACAAAGGAGATGAGGATGGATATATACAGGAATCTCTTCGAGAATGCAAGGCCGAGATCAAATTGCAGGATATGGGTACGCACAGCATAAATAATCTGCGGGACCAAGCTTTTAACATATCCTAGATAAGAAGGCTACGGCTCTCTTGAAACTGATCTACTTGGAGATGTTTGGCTACGACATGTCCTGGGCATCTTTTCATGTGCTTGAAGTAATGTCATCTGCAAAATACTTACAGAAAAGAGCTGGATATCTCGGTGCCGTACAAAGTTTCAGACCAGACACAGAAGTACTAATGCTAGCAACGAATCTCTTAAAAAAAGTATGTGCGCTGTTGAGTATTATAGTCCTTATATGAAGCTAACTGTTGCTTAGGATCTAGTATCATCCAGCATTTCAAATATGTCCCTTCCGCTAATCACATTGCCCAGCATCATCACCACCTCCCTTGCCATGTCATTGCTACCAGATGTTTTGTCTCGAATATCCCACACTCATGCTGTGGTTCGGAAAAAAGCTATTGTGTGCCTCTACAGGCTGACACTTGTCTACCCTGACGCTCTGAAACTAGCTTGGCCCAAAATCAAGGAACGCCTCATGGACGATGCAGAGGACTCTAGCGTCACTACAGCTGTTCTAAACGTGGTATGTGAACTTGGATGGCGACGACCTCGTGACTTTCTACCTCTTGCGCCGAGGTTATTTGAATTGCTTGTCGAAGGTGGCAATAATTGGATGGCCATCAAAATAATAAAGCTTGTAAGTTGTCTGGGTCATCTATATGAGGACCCTTCGGTATCATTGCTCGTCAGTATTCTCACAGTCCTAGTTTGCCACACTTACTCCGCTGGAGCCACGATTGGTTCGGAAGTTGCTTCGGCCTTTGGTGAATATAATTCAAACAACAACCGCCATGTCTTTACTTTACGAATGTATCAATGGCCTGATACAAGGCGGCATACTCGATAGCGATCAAGGTGCTCAAGAGAAAGACGAAATCGCCGATTTGTGTGTGGAAAAACTTCGGGGCATGGTCGTTTCGGATTCGGATCCAAATCGTAGGTGCTTCTGCCTTACGGCGTGAGATAGAAGCTGACATGCAGATATCTAGTCAAGTATGTGGCACTCCTAGCCTTCAACAGAATTGTATCGGCATATCCCGCGCTGGTTTCGATGCACCAGGATGTGATCATGTATTGCTTGGACGATGCGGACATCTCGATTCGACTTCAAGCTCTTGATCTTGCAACCAGGATGGTCACTAGCGACAACCTTCAGGGGATAGTAGAGCGGTTGATCTTACAGCTGGTCAACTCCAGTGAGTCTACCGGGAATGACCGCCCCGGGACTGATGATGAATTCTCTGAAGGAGGCGGGGAAATGAGACGTGATTCAGCTAACCACAAAAAAACAACACCTTTACCACCTGATTACCAGCTTGAGGTGTTGCATCGGGTAGTCGACATATGCTCTTACGGAAATTATGCAAACTTGTCCGATTTTGACTGGTATGTCGGCGCCTTGGTGCGGTTAGTGCAACTTCTTCCGCCGGACGTTGAAGATGTTGGGCTTCCTCATAACACTCGTACGGGTAACGATGCGGATCACCAGTCACATATCACTGGTCGAATCGGTTCTGAGCTACGCAATGTGGCCGTTCGGGTCAAGGACGCCCGCACGGAAGCAACTAGGGCTGCAGCCTCTTTGCTTTCTCTTGCAAATCGGAAATCCCTTTTGTTCAAGGCCCCAGGCGCAAGCAACGGCATCTTCGGGCCGCTCGCGTGGATGGTTGGCGAGTATGCCGAGCACTTGCTATCTCCTGGCCAAGCTCTTTTTTCCTTGATTGAAATGTCCAATTTCTCCTTGCCAGGGAGGACGTTATCCCTCTATGTGCAAGCCATTCCTAAGTTGCTCAACACCTTTCTGCCTGATGAGGGAACATGGGATCGAACAAAGAGGAGCGAAATGTCTCTCATGTTGGCCCGGGTGATTGAGTTTCTCAACTCTCTCAGTTTGCATCCTGACCTTGAAGTACAAGAACGAGCTACCGAATTCCTTGAGGTCATGCGCTTGGCAGCAGATGCTGCACATTCCGGCTCCCACAACTGGAATGAAGTACCGTATCTATTGTCTACGGTCATTCCAAACCTATTCAAAGGACTCGAATTGAATCCCGTCTCTGTGAACGCTCAGAAGAAAGTCACGGCACCAGAGCTGCTTCATTTACACCAGACATTTAATGATAGCCTTTGCGATCTCTTCGATAGCGATCTCGGAACTTCATGCGGAGAGTATGAAGTGCCCAGCCACATGTTCTACTATTGTAGGGAGGGCATGTCATTTGATAAGCAGCTTGGTGACTTCGCCGCGGTTGACGCAACTTATGGGACACAGTACCAGACACCAGTGAGTACCATGGTGGAAGAAGCGTCCACCTACGCTAGAAGGTTGGATAGCAAGGAACGAAGTAGGGATGATCCTTTTTATATTGGGACGGATGACGGATATTATGACATCTTGAGCCCGCACCATCCTTCTTTCACCGTCTCTAATGAAAGCGAATTGGATGTTGATGCCATTCCGATAATCGATCTCAAGTTGCACGCCGGAAGGGAACATCGGCCGCCGTCTATGGCTGAGTCTGACGGCCGGAAAAAAATAGGATCACGTCCCAAACGATATAATGTATTACCCGATGAGATGCTAGGAGACGATGAGGCTGGGGCAGCCAATAGGACGGGTGAATCTAGCAAATGGAAACGGTCTCTGCTTCAGATCGATTCCAGTGGGCTGGAACACCCCCAACTTAGCGAGAACAGACCACTCTCGGATGGTAATCAATCAGTCGTGCGGAAGGTCGAAGATGAGGCAGAGATGGTTTTGGCAATGCGAGAAGTGGAACAATTTCGGCTCAGATTACAGAGAGCCACAGAGCGAGTGAAGCCAATGGGCATCCCTTCGGAGGGAACATTGGTCAAGAAAAAGAAGAAGACGACGAAACCCGTGGTCAATGATAGGCAGGGAACTGGATGGCCTGATGATGAAACAGGTTTAATCAAGGCCAGCAATGACCGACAACAGCAGAAGAAGAAGAAAAAGAAGCGGCCCAAGAACTGATTCGAACCTAGATAGGTTCTTAGTAGGTACTACCTCACTTGGCAGTATGGCGTATGGCTAGGGTCATTGAACTAGGTTGAATCTGACTTGCTGGACTGCGCAGCAGGATGATGGTCACATCAATGCACTCGAAGCATTAGAAAGTATGAGGGTAGGAGGCCCCTGATATAATCGCTTCGACAGTGGCATCGATTTGTCGTGGAAAATAATAACATGCGATGATGCAACATAGCAAGCTGTGTCTATACCTACTGCAACAACTGACTAAAGTTCGTAACAAGAGCGGACCATAACCGAGGCACAATCCCCAGTAATTCGAGAAATATTCCACCACAAACAACAAACGCAAGGATGACTGTCAACTTTCTTAGCCCTACCAGATAATCATTGGCATGACGGCTAATGGGAACATACCAATCCAGCCAGTAGATACTGGAGACCGTGAGTGCTGTTTTGGCTTCGCCATCACCCCTCCTTTGCCACGCTTTGAGGCTTCATGCTTTGCATACCTCTCATTGGCTTTTCTCTGCTGTGGTGTTTGAGCCTGCAATTTGAGATTAGTATCCAACACCATCTGAATGCCAATTTAACACCACATTGCATAGATCTATAGCATACCATGGTGCCACTGAATACGGTTGATTTGGGCTAACTCTGGCCTTAACGTCTGGATCACTAAAGAATGTTTAAAATGGACAGAGATCCTGCTATTTTTATAGTAAGAGAAAAGAGGGCTTTTAGAGCAAATCGAAGGAGGCAAACAGCTGGATCACAATCTAGTATACAGAAGAGGCCACGTTGTGCCAATTATGTTCCGGGAGGCTTTTAAGCACGGAAAAGAGTTGGATCCAACAAGCCCCTGACAACAGCTTATGGCACCCTTGTGCTCAGCTTTGCTACCGCCTCCCCGATCGAGAATTTGAGGAACAACTTCCCGTTATCCATAATTGTATCGCGCCTTGCCCTTATCAGGCAGGCGGCAAAACCAGCCCGTGAGCTGAGCCCGCTGAGCCTTGTGAGTAGTGACCAGCAGTATTTGTACTGTACCATGGCATGTTGTGGGGGCAGCGCCTAAGCCAGTAGGCGGTCAGCACCTGCAAATCTCACATCTAATCTCCGCGAGATTTAGATTTTTTCCACTATCGTGTGTGGAGTGTTACGTTCCAATCTCTCCATTTATCCTGCAAACACCCAAGCACATTTTTCTTCTTAAAAAAACTAATCCCCTGTCTTCTTTCATCTTTTTCTGGTGGCTTGATTAGTACATATCTCGACAATCCGCGGTGGACAAATACTTCGAGCAAAGAAAAAGGATTCCCCTCGGGCCGAGAAATCATCTTGATCTAGCAAATGGGTCTTGCTGCACCCCGAAAGTAGGTAGGGTCTACTTTCCTCGTCCCACTTGGTCTAATGTCCATTGCCTAGGAAATCCAAGATCTCACACGATCCTAACAATACAAATTGGTCGCGCTCAACAACTGGCTTCGGGCACAAGATTCTCAGTTCTCAGGGATGGACCCCGGGTAGCTTTCTAGGTGCACGAAATGCTGCACATGCTGAGTTATTCACCACAGCAAGCGCGTCTCATATCCGCGTAACTATCAAAGATGATACACTTGGCCTTGGTGCGCGACCGAGGCGGGACGTACTAGGCGAACCCACTGGCCTTGATGCGTTTAGAGGCTTGCTGGGACGCTTAAATGGCAAGTCAGATGCAGAACTGGGGATTGAGGAGAAGAGGCGCGAGAATGCCAAGTTGGCTCGATATGCGGCCAGCAGATGGCAGGCAGTTAACTTCATTAGTGGTGGATATCTGGTCCAGGAAAAGGCTGATGTCAGCGAATCTGATGAACCCGCTCAAATCGAGTCAGACACTGAGAGCCGCAGGACTAATAAGAGTGCTACTGAGGTCCAGAGAGGACCTGAAAGTCCCGATTATGTGGACCCTAAGGCAAGTCCTATCAGTACTCAAAGTCAAAATATTGGCAGTTGTGGAAGGCAACTCTCAGACAACCAGGCCTCCTGTAAGAAAAAGTCCAAGAAAAGGAAGAACAAAGAAAGGCAAGAAGATAGCGGTTTCGAACACACAAAGACAGACACATCGGATCAAAGAGACGAGTCCAATTGTGTTTCCCCTACAGAAATGCCTGCATCGACTTCAAAGTCTCTGCCATCAAGGGAACGCCGTCCGATGGGCAGGCATGTTTTCAGAAGCCGTCACATTGCACAGAAAAAGAGAGCTCTCCTCGACGAGAAATCGTTGAATGAGGTAAGAACGTTGCGTTTTCACATGGTCACTTATGCTTACTGATTTGATCTCAGATATTTATGGTCAAGTCATAATACCCTGTCTCTTGGCTCGTGTCGTGTAGAGGCTAGCCTAGACTTTCTCCCACTACTCAAATACCCAATGTGATTATATTTATACACGCTTGTTATTATCATGCCGAGCACATGACCAAGTCTGATCTTCCATCGAGTTCCGCTACAACACATTTTCATAATGGCCGTCTGTTCCTATCATGATGATGCTACTTAGTGTAGCTCTAGAGGAGATTTGGGTTGGCAGTATATGGACTTCCGTTCGGACTGGATAGATTTCTCTACAAACACTTCCTGTGTGTTTTTCCATTGTAGTGATATTCGCATGTGTCCTAGATAACGGAATTAATGGTGCTGTAAACCAAGAGTGCTGCTACCTAGGGGTATGTACAATACCGTACATACCGTTTGAGCCGCATGTGGGCGCATACCTCGGCCCAGCCGGTGGACAATGTATCACTACCACTGTGGGTTGACCCATCGACTGTCATCGGGGTCCAGCTCAGCGTGGTCCAAAAAAAGTTCATCGTAGCCCAAAATTCCAAAATATCATTCACCGCCAGCTGGCAGGATTTTGAACCACGTTGAGCTAACCTTTATTAGTAAGACTTTTAACAACTCTTATCAAAACTACTTTAAAATTAAATGCTTTTTCTCCTTTTTACATTAGGATTATGAGGGTTTTTAGGGGCTGAAGGTTCTTACATTAGAATCTATAGAGTTTTTTTTTTTTTTTTATTAGGGGTTTAAAGTATATAGGCTCTTATACTTAGGATATGCCTAAAAGTTACTTATAATATACCCATCAAAAATACTCACCGCCCTCGGGGCAGAATTTCGGACCACGCCGAGCTGGGCGCCCGACCGTCATCGTCAGCGGCCGTCATGATCTTACTGTCTATGCTTCATGACACATTCATTCCAGATTCGTATCATCGAAGTTCGATCTCTGAACTGAGCTCATATGTCAGCTCATTCCTCTTGCAAGATCACAAGCATCAGGCTCAACCCGTGCTATCAAGCCACCGATGTCTAATTCTGGAAGTTGTGCCCCTGCGGGGACTGGGAATGACAGCCTAGCCCAGCTACAACCATCATCTCTGCAGCGGTCGCCGATAACCATCACTCATGATAGCTTTTCCACTGATGGTAGTAGTTCTGACCGTGCCCGAAGTACCGAAAAGGACCTACGCGAAAGGAGGTATGTGAACGTGTTCAATAAATCTTCTTTGGGGTATTTGTACTAACAGAAATCCTACTGACTGGAGAACTAGAATCCGTTGGGCACCATTGAATATCGGCCTCGAAAGACGCTTACAGACGTTTGTGGTTCTCTGCCATACTTTAACCATCGCTATCTTTTTGACGATGTTTTTTTTCTTATGCGCCATCCCACTCTCATGGCCAGTCCTAATACCCTATCTGATCTACATCTCTCTCTTTTCGACGGCTGCAACATCGGGGAGCCTGCGCGGTCGCTGCAATTGTCTGCGCTCCCTCCGTGTCTGGAAATTGTATGCGTCTTACTTTCCAGCCCGCTTACATAGATCCGAACCTCTTCCACCAACAAGGAAATATATCTTCGGGTATCATCCACATGGAATCATATCACACGGCGCCTTCGCAGCGTTTGCTACCGAGGCTCTTGGGTTTTCCAAGCTCTTTCCTGGAATCACAAACACTTTACTGACACTTGACTCAAACTTCCGAATTCCGTTCTACAGGGAGTACGCACTTGCTATGGGTATAGCCAGCGTCTCCCGCGAATCATGTGAAAATATCCTCACTAAAGGCGGAACTAATGGTGAAGGAATGGGTCGTGCCGTCACAATTGTCATTGGTGGTGCCCGTGAATCACTGGATGCTCTTCCCAACACTTTGCGCCTTGTGCTTAAGCGCAGAAAAGGATTCATCAAGTTAGCCATACGTACAGGAGCTGATCTTGTGCCAATACTAGCATTTGGTGAGAATGATCTCTATGAACAAGTGCGCTCTGAAGACCACCCTATCATACACAAGTTTCAAATGCTTGTTAAACGTGTGATGGGCTTCACAATTCCCCTATTTCATGCACGTGGTATCTTCAACTATGATGTTGGGTTGATGCCATATCGTCGGCCATTGAATATCGTGGTGGGTCGCCCTATCAGGGTAACACAGCAAAAGGACAGGGAGAAGGTAGATGATAAATACATCGATCTACTTCACACAATGTATGTGCAGGAACTAGAAAGGCTGTGGGAGCAGTGGAAAGATTTTTATGCTAAAGATAGAGCATCCGAGATTGAGATTGTTGCATAAGATGTTAAGATGATGGTTCTGGCAGGGTGGCGATAGCAGAGTGAATATATGAAGAACTATTCGGCATATTCAAACAAGCCCCATGTCCTGATGTTTTCCATATTGAATACACTAATCCAGAATCCCAGTGACAAGATTCGACTACATGTGAGGTTCAAATCCCAGGTAAATGCCTGCAGGTCTGGGCTATCGCTTGTATAGGCTCTACACCAAGTCTACTGGCTTGATTATTGGCTGATAGCTTCAGTCAATACCTTGCCGCACAACTAGATCCCTTACTTAAATCGTGCGAGTTATATCCTCTCTGGACCTTTTTTATGTTCGGAGTGATGATTTCGAATCGATGATGAGATAAATGGAATATAGCATGTACCAAAAGCTGAAATCGCTTCGAAAGGGGGACAAGAATGGGTATCTGAAAGTGCTGAATGATAGAAACAACAAAGCGACTGGGCATAAGGCATGTGCGACATGATTGAGAGAAGGAGCATCCGACCTCAAGGAAATATAAGCAAAGCTCCTATGATCGTGTTGTCATGGGTAGCCTTAAAAGGGAAATCGAACCCTGAGACCCAACAGCCCGGTGCATGACAATGGATAGTGTTTTTGGAACAACAGGAGCATGAATTAGAAGTAATTCCTGGGGGAAGCGACGCGTTGATCCCTTCAATATATAAGCGGCGAATTGTCTTGCCAAATGGCGAGGGCCTTCGTCCCCTGCGCGTCGAAAACCAATTGAGATCCGATGACGTTAGAAATTCGGTTTCACGAGGTGATCAGGTCCAGGAGCTAACCGAGCAATTTTGCTTTTAGAACAGCTCTGATCCCCGACGGGCCTTCGAGGCCAGTGCACTCTCTGTCATTGATACATTGTTCGAGAAGTGTCTAAGTGCTCACCCTGGCGAGCAGATTCTCCGGATAGGCTGACTGTATTCCAAAATGATAATGCGAAAATGTCAAGCTTGAGTGCTCTGGCTAGGATGCAGTCAATCGATGTTGCTCGTAGTCAAACTCGCTATTCCGGGTATCGACTCTGATGCTCGACGACTGCTGGTAACGACACGAACACTACCACGCGAGCCTTTGATTAATTGGCCGCTTTCAACACGATCTTGAATCATTTCATCAAGGATTCGAGACATCTCGTCCATACTTTTCCGCTTTCCTTCGGGGGTGCCTTCGAACCGCGGGGAGAAGTTGTTGTCTGGAGTGTAGGTCAAGGCATAGTCACTGTCCCCGAGACTGTGGCGGTGAGATAAAGTTTCTTTCATTCCGGGCCCACAGGCATCGATGGCAACGTGCGCAAGATCCCGATGTCGAGCAGCAGATCGGAGCGCTGTGAGCATTCGATCTTTATCGTCCAATTGTTGACGAAGCTCATTTATTTCCATGTCCCTTTCCCGCAACAAAGCCATTGTATCAGGCAACTCAGCATCTGGACTGCTAGACTTCATGCCTATTGATATACGGGAATGACTCGAGCGGCGTGCTTGCAACAACCGCCTCTCCAACGTGGATATGTATCGATTTTTGTCATTGAGATCAGCTTGAAGGGCCGCAATTTGTTGCTGAGTGCTCGCCTTCCCATCTGCGAATTCGCCGATATTCTCTTCATCATCATGAGGCAAAGAGCTCGCGAGGCGTGCACTGGCTGCGGGATCATAACTATTGACCGAAATGAGAGACATCGGGCGGTTTGAGGGTTGTCCATAGGCGCTCAATGTAGACTGGCTAACTGAAGACCGCAGAGACCTCGTCCCAGTATCGAAGGCGGATTGTCTGGAAAGCCTACCAAAGGAGGGAAGTCCCCCGTGGTTATTCACTCCAGTTGACTTCGAACATAATATAAGGCGATTCAGATGTTCTATACGTTCCTTTAACGCTGTCCGAGCCAGTTGCATCTCTAACATTTGTTCTTCATGACGGGCATGCGCTTCCTTTTCTAGCTGCTGTTCTTCAAGTTTGACTTCTTTCTCAACCTGAGCTTTTGTCTGGCACTCGAGCTGATTACGGAGAGCCTGGATCTCCAAACGATAGCGTTCAAGAAGAACCCGACTTCCTGTGTCAGTGCCACCACTTCCCATTGCCTCCTCTGCTCTCTTAGCATGACTGACAATGCTATTCTTCGCTCGAGCTGCAAACTTCAAGGTATTGAGGGTTTCACCAGCATGCGTTTTAGTTGGACTGGCTAGCTGGATCGTGCAGAGAATGCTGACCAGAGAGTTTCCTGACAAAGCCGGCTGCAGCAGTCTCGTGAGCTTGCTATCGCGATAAGGCAGATGCTTGCCTTCCTTGTCAGTTGCACCACTGGCTTTTTCCTTTGATTCCGAAAGTTTGGAGATGATCGTGCCCAAAGTCAGTAAGCTCTTGTTAATGTGTGCACCTTCTGTCCGACGTTCTTTGTCATCAGCAGCACGCTCTGATCCAGCAAGGTCGATAAGACTGAGCGTGGACACCCTGACCCCCCCAGGCAGCAAACCTGACCGCCTATCCTGGGATATACCTGCGGGTGCTCGTTCCCGACTCTCAACAACGATCTGGACAACCGCATGACTTCGTGAACTTCGAGCATTGAACTGGGTGCTGCCAGTCCTTCTCGCATGGTCTCCCCTTGCGATGACACGGAGAAGTTGAGTCGGGCTCTGGACAATTTCTTCCTTTAATGGAGTCGCATATACACCTCTTTTGCTATCCTCACGTAACTTGATTTCTTCTTGTTGGGCAGTGGAGGGCGCACCGGACACTGACGCTGAAAGCAGGTCATTTATCCTCTCGTTGTAGATTTCAAGGTAGCTCACCCGCAACAAAAACTCCCGGTGCGGCGTCTCTCTGATGAAGGAGAATATGTCTGTAATCGCCAGTGGAATTACCCCTGGGGAGGTTGCGGTTCCTTGCATAGAAAAGGTCTTGCCCGTTCCGGTCATGCCATAGGCAAACACTGTACCGTGATAGCCTTCCATAACCCTCCTCACGAGACGCTTTGCAGCAGCGTCGTAGACTTTTGCATTGTTTTCATTGGCCGAGAAAACGTTATCTGGAGTAGGGATCAGCGCATCATCATTCCGAGCCTGGCGTTTGCAGGATATAGATACCATATAGATAGTCACCACCTTCTTTCCCATTGAAGGAGATGATTGCTCGCCTCCCATCTACCGTCCATTCAGGTGTCTTTGTTGCTTCAACCCCCCCAACATCAGGTCGTACTCGGACGCTCACGATCACATTTCCCTTTGTCGTATCCCTGCTCTCCTTTGATTTAAGAGTGGACTTGGATATGCCGGCTGCGTCATCACCATCCTCATATGTGGTTGCGCTTGTCGAATAAGACTCTTGTGCAGAAGAGCTTCTGCTTTGGGGAGGGGAAGCATCCATGTCCCGTATCTCACAGCTAAGAGCCGATTTCAAGTCCCCGTTTCCGTGGATAAGGGATGTTGTTTTAGATGTTCGGTAGCTACTGATTGTGCTAGTGCTCAGTCTGGAGCTTTTCCGTTCTTTGAGACTTCCGGAATGACGCAGGCCTTGTATTCCTGAGATCGAGGACGCGGTCGAAGGGCGACTTCCAGCCTTAGGTGGCTGGGGGAAGGCTGCGATACTGACCGTTCTTCGCAATGATGTGTCGGGACTACTGGGAACCCGGGTGTTGATAAGGGACTTCGATGGACCAACATATGTTGTTGGACTATGAAGCACGGATCTGCTAGAACTTGATCTAGGACTGGAGGGAGCACGCATACTCGAGGAAGCCTGGGATGAGGAAAGGGTCCTTGGCGTATGTGGTAAAGTTGCTAGGCTCTTTCGTGATCTCGGAGCAGAAAGTTGAGGAGCCGGAGAGCTGGCGGTGGGCTTGGGTGGTGGAGGTAATTCAGACATGGGGACGTTTGGAAAGGCCGATCAACGATCGACATCAATCAAAAAAGGCCCCTAAACGATCGTTCAATCTTCGAGCACGGCTTGAGCGACGACGATATGCAACAACTATTATTTGTATCGTCCATGCACGTTGAAAAGAACCCTGGATCTCACACTCGATATGTTTCGGAAGCAGTGCCTGGAGGAGAAGGCCTGATTAGAATAACTGGAGACATAGGAGAATGATGGTGTCTGAAATTGTATAACATGGGCCGAGACTGGACATGAGACACTGTGCTCGGGGACCATATGAATGTATATGATCCAAGATTGCACCTAGACAATCTCGAGATATCTTCGAGAACCATAACATCGCCCAAAAAGGGCAGGATATAAATGCAACTATGCGGACTTACATGGACCGTCAGCAGGGTGCGGCCGTGGATTTCCCGAGCGGTGCTCAAAAACACCGTTGCGCGCTCCGCGACTCGGCGGTATTGAAAGTTGCCAGGAGCTTAACTGTCACCATGTGGTATTGGTGATTGGGATAAATTGAGACAGATCAGATGACCACTTTTGTATGAAGTGAATATGAATTGATCGGTACGTTGCCATCAAATAGTCGATGTAGGGGAAGAGAAGCATGGATGTGCAGATAAGGGGCGGAGCGGCGGAGGGACGGGAAATTATAGTGTGGACAGAGAAGAAGGTTCTAATGTAGATCAGTCGGGATGTTTAATGAGCTCTAAGTGAGACTGAGACCGCGTGCGCGCGGCGGGGGAGGGGGACCGGGCAGCAATGTGTAATAATGTATGTATCTACTTATTATTCAGTATGAGTAACTACCTAGTAACTAGTACAGTATTACTTGTAATGGCACTACGGAGTGAGTAATCATGAGTGCCTTCAAACGGGGGCGTTGGAGCACTGAGAAAGGGTTGAACTCCAGGAGGTCTCCATTGGCAGGGAGTGAGAAGGGCTTTCCTCCTTAGGCTCCTTCTTCACTATGAATTTACTTTACTAGGCTAGGTAAGCTCCTTAGCTAAACTTGACTGACCAATCTTACCTTAAACCTAAGTCCTTTGCTGTAATAACCAGGGCAAACTGACAAGCCACCTGAGGTATGTACCATAGATAGGTAGGACATGGTACTACGTAATGTACCTTACACTTGTAGTAAGTTAGTGTGTGCACGGTGCGGAACGGGTACCTGGAGCCAACTTGATTGTGGCCTTATGTGAACCAACACAAGGAGCCTTTTCGTCTTACATTACTATCATTATCCTTAAAATTTATTTTCTGCAGATAGCAATTGAGGATGCTTATAGAGATTATGAGACTGGGAGGTTTTTGTTCCCATTACTGGCCAAATAAGCCGCTCGACCTGTTCCATGCCGCTCGACCATTACCTTTACTATTCTTGGGCTTCATTTAGCCTATGAATGTAAAAGCTCCAGTTTCTCTAAATGCTCCTTTACCAGCAGCGCGTGATCAGTATGGAGGGAGTCTCAATTCTCTCCCCGTCAAGTAGGGGTGCCCTTCCGCTCGATTTGTACTGGACAGTACAGTACACCACGGTATGTATCCATAGCGACGACTAGAAAAAACATACTGGACAAGATGCATACCCCCCGCATCGATTTCAATGCCATACGAGGCATAGACTTAGAAAATGAAACCGCGCTACCATGGGATAAGCGAGCATCTTAATAAAAGGTACAGAAGAAAGAATTGATAGTCAGCAGAGATCGGTGTCGAACGCTTCTGGATGCTGTTTGATACTTGTTTTTCCCCTACTTCGTGACGATATCTCGACTGACAGCGGATCGAGAGCCTCGCAATCGCTAGCCCAGTTTCAGGTGGTCTTATATGGGAGAGCTTTAAAATGCCAACTTTGTCAGGTGGGAGGAAGGAAGAGTGTATATCTTTTAGGGAGAAACTACAAGCTCATTGTTATCCTGGTGCTATCAGTTCCCTTCATGCACATCACCGGTAGTTGGAATACCAGAAAACAGCGTTAGAATCTGTATCTGCCGCATGGCTGTGTGCCCCTGAAGCTGGGCTTTCTGCAGTAGATAGACCTTGGACAACTTCGCCCACTGGTAGACAAATGACCTCGCGCGTTGCAGCAAATCACTTTCCTCAAGATTTGCCTGGAATGACTTCGATTCATCGAGTCTGTTCCGGTACTCGTAAGCTAGTCTCTGACCGCAGTAAAATTCAACTGTCGAGCCGCATTCTTGAATGTTGAATCTTCAATTTCTCCCCCTCGCCTGGTCAGGTCTGCGCCCATCTTCTTAATGCCATCAATCTTGCGAGGAAGGTTTTTCTTGTCGGTTGGTTTAGGCTCAGTAGTCCACCAGCCGTGTTGTAAAACCCTGCAAGCTGTGTTTCGCTTCTTAGGGTTCAGGGTGCACATTGACATCAGTAAATCCGCGCCGACAGGACCAGCTGTCGGAAATTGCCTGAAGAAAAATTCTCGGCCCTGAAGAGGGACGACATGGTTGGGATCAGCGGGCAGATAATTAGGTAGTTTGGTGACACCTGGCCAATTGTCCTCATTCGGAGTCCCGAAAGCTTCACAGATCTTCGTAATTTGATCGAGATCGGTATTTCCTGCAACGAACGGAACTCGCAGGAGGAGTTCAGCGAACACCATGCCCATAGACCAGATATCGACAACCCCCGAGTACTGCCGGGCACCAAAGAGCAGCTCTGGGGGACGATACCAGCGTGTAATGACCTGGTGGGTCATATTCAAGTAGGGATCAGCAAACGACCTAGCTAAACCGAAGTCCGCGAGTTTCACTTCCCCATCTGCCGCGATGAGGAGGTTATTAGGCTTGATATCCCGATGCAATATGAAATTCTCGTGACAGAACCAGACCCCTTTGGCGAGCATTCCCATCCAAGCCTTGATATCAGCGAGGCCGTAGTGAATATTCGTATCCTTAATCAACATCTCGAGATCGCCCCGCGGTAGATATTCGAGAACGAGATTGAGATTTTGATCCTTTGATGAGAAGACATCGTGAAGCGCTATTATATTGGGATGTGACAGCTCTTGCAAGTATTTTACTTCTCGAATAGCGTCCATGGAAAGTCCATCTTTATATTCTGCATTGACCTTTATCTTTTTGATAGCGACGAACGAGGATGGATCTGTCCGAAGGTGGCCGAGGAAAACAACCGCATAGGTACCTTCACCGAGCCTTTTATCTATGAAATAATCACGCTCATCATTAACCGTCAAGAACAGCGACAACAAGGTAGTATTGCAAGCAACGAGGGAGGATGCATAGAACCATTCAAGAGAATGAGGCGTAAAATCATACCTTTAATATACTTGTGTCTTACATCGTCGTTTAACTGCTCGGTAATCTCACGCTCATTGGTAGCATGAGAGGGGTTTTTCATATTCGGCATGTATGGTGAGCGTTCAGCGCTATTTACCTCTGACTCTCTTGTCGCATCGGTAGTTTTAGCTGCATGCAAAGCAGGGTTCGGGATTAAAGGAGAAACAGCCATTGTTACTACAACGTAGCAACGTCTGGTTGTCTCTAGTAAAGAAGTAGTAAGAATACCACCAAAGTCTAAAGTGTTTTCAAGATTTATTAGTTAGATGACTGGACACAAGTCACAGGAATTTATGTTCTTGGAAACGGTGTGATTTGGCATCTCGAGCAGGTTGGTAATGGCAGTTTCGGAGTTAAGTTGATCCTGGCTGGAACTGATGCCGCCAAAATTTCTCCTCATTATCCCCGACCCGGAGAAGAGAACCAACTGCCAAACTAGGGTTCCAATAAAACACCTTGATCTCTCAGCTCAGTCATATGTTCAGATTATTGCCTTTTATTACTATTTTCAAGTTCACGACATAATATCTTGGCCGGACTGGGTGATCAGCCCGGCTACAATGGCGATGCACAGTCCATATCTTTTCTCCTTGCGAGCAATGCGACCTATTACCATCGGAAAGCAATGCTTCCGGCACCTTCACAAGCAGGTGCCTTCTGTTGCAATACCTTCACCAACACCATTTGTCCCAGACGTCCAGACTTTCCTTACACTAATCGGCCGTGGCATGAATAAACACACCAGCAAGCTGTCATCTTGGGATAAACTGTTTTCCATTAGTTCGCCAGAGCTTAAAGAGTTGGGCATTGAACCTGCAAGCCAGCGACGGTATTTACTCCGCAAAAGGGAGAAATTTAGACGAGGAATTTTCGGACCTGGCGGTGACTTGCAGCACGTTGTCAATGGTACTGCACAGTTGCGGGTGGTTGAAGTCCCCAAGAAGCCAAAGGATATTGCGGAAAGCCACAAATCCGCAAGCCTCTCGAATTATGCGGCCAATTCCTCCCCAGACACGAGGAAGATTGTTGTCAACCTGCCACCAGATGCCAAAGAATATATCCACAACCAATCTCAGCCACCAAAAAAGATTGCATACATGAGAGTTCACCACGGCAGCACTATAAAGGGCCCTTACCTACAGCCGATCAAGGGCACCAAAGGCAGCGCAGCTTTATTCGAGTTGAAGGAAGGTATGTGGGAGGATCGACTCGGAGTCAAGGTGGATGGTGGTGAAAGACGACGTGCGGAAATCAGAGCGAAACGGAGGAGCGAAGAGAGGCGGAAAGGCACTATCTAAAAACCTAGAAATTCTTAGATGGGTTCACATTAGCTTGTGGTATACCTGTTTCTCCTGTTTTTCTACAAGCTTGCACCAAATTTTGCTGCATGTACTATAGGCATTCATATTTTATTGCTGTCACACTATATTTATAAATCATGCTCGTATTATCTTGCACTACACAATGGACTGAACATAAAACCCAAGGCTTCGGCCCAATAAGCCAAATGCTTTTAGATGTGTTTCTAACTTGTAAGATGTATTTATTACGTATATATACATTAGCTTCTCAGCCGCAGTCCCATAAGCTAACAGCGGGCCCTTTGTTCATTTCTTATTTCATGATGATTAATTGATGAAGCTTAGAGGGAATCTTCTATTAGTTCTGCACAGTATTAATAAGGTAATAAGGATATACATCTACTATTATCTGCTATCATTTGTCATGAGGCAAAAGAGCAGCAGTAGTATTATTTGCTCGCAGGAGCACGCTTTTCGAAATGTATAAATGATTTCCCAGCGGGTTTCGAGAAAAGTGACTAGGCCCAGTAAGTAAAATAGAAGGTACATGCCTGGGTATGAGGATACTTACTGAATAGTCTGTTTCAGGGATACTCTTTACATGGGGTAAATTGCGGAACTTGAACAATCTTACCAGAGCCGCTGCTATGGCACCAAGTTGTACATAGGCAAATTGTTCACCAATGCACCTGTGCCTCCCAGCGCCAAATGGAAGGTAAGGACTGTTTGTGCCCTTGCTAACAAGACCATACCCATAGTCAATTTTCTCTTCATCTTCTGCATTAGACGCAAGGTCCTCATCCCAGCGGTGAGGATCCCACTTCAGTGGGTTGACGAAATACTCCTCAGACCTTGCCGTCACACCAGGTGAAGAGAGAACATTATGGGACGTAGGAATCACATATGGTGTTCCGTCCACAGGCATCGGGTTCTTCACCGCACGTATGATTGAATGGATAGGCGCATGTATACGCAATGTTTCCTTGATGACCTTAGCATGAAGATCCAACTTCTGTAGGTCTTCGTATGTTAGAGGCGGCAAATCAGGGCCGAGGACACGGAGTTGTTCAGCAAAGAGCTCATCCATGATTTCCGGATGTGCCGCAAGGTGTAGGACAATCCAGGAAGCCGTAGAAGCCGAAGAATGCTGACCAGCCATGAGAAGAGCTATCATCATGTGCGCGACTTCCTCGTCGGGAACTTGAGTGCCATCTTTATACTCGCAAGACATCAGGTTCCATACCATGTCTTCAGAGTCTTTCTCAGTTCCAGCATTGCGACGAGCCTTGATGATTTCCATGTATGTTTCTGTCATTTTCCTCTGTGCGGCATCGCGTTTCCGATTATGGGGAAGAGGCGCCCAGGGTAGCATGAAATTGATTGGCGCGAATCCCATGTCCAGGTCATGATATAGCTCAGCAAAGGTGGAGTCAAATCTACTTCGAACTTCCTTGCCTTGGAGAGAGCGTGAAGCTGTATAGATGGTGATTTCAGCAACTATTTTGCACACGTCAAAGATACCACTAGCACCCTGGAAAGCCGGAGAATGCTGGACAAAATCCTCCACTTCATCGGTTATCAGACGAACATAGGAACGTAAGGCGTCGGAGGTAAGACCGAATTTGACGAACTATTCTCCGTGTTGTCAGCGGCAGGACACTCTTCATCCGGGTGTGTCTGATTACCTTCTTCTGCTCCATTAATTTGGCATTTGGGCAGTCATACACAACATTGCTCCCAAACACAGGTGTAGTAAGCGGCGAATAAACTTCCTCGGCACAGACATCTCTTAACTTGCCATTGAGAATGAAGTCATTACCCTTAGTCCCAAGGTAAACAGTCGTCTTCTTGCCAAGAAGAACAAAAGTGAATATATCACCGTACTGATGGTGAATTAGCAAATGAGCTACCCAGAAAACCAAGACCTATGAAACTACCTTCTCACGGCACTTGAAGAAAAATTTGTACGGATCCATGCCATAGCTGATCGTACTGCCAATAAAGGGCACCCAATGAAACACTACAGGTGGTTCTTTCGGGTTCTTGAAAAGCAGTTGGCCCAAGACATTGAGCAGGATAGACACAGCAAGTAGGGCTAGCAGTGTTGTTCCCAGGATGACCAGACTCGAAGACTCCGTGCAATGCTTGCATATAGTATCGAGTAAGACCGCGAGAAAGCCCATGGCTGCGTCGTGCTAGCGGTTGCGAGACAGAACCAGGGGCCAGATAATTGAGCCGTGTCAGATAAGTAACCCCTTACGATTAGAAATAAAAGAAGATTAGGCTCAGAGCACTTCCTCAGTAGAAGCAGTGAGGGTGATCCCGAGCAATATAAAGGCGAGGACTGAGCGAAGAGAAGCGTGCAGGGTGATTGTGGCTGAGAAAAAAGTAGCCTTGACTTGAGCGCGGATTCTGCCACTGTACGGAGATCTGTTGTGTACTAACTTGGTTTCCCTCCCTGACCACCCGTGACGGCAGCTAAACTCCAACAACTTGCCAAGAAATTCACTTAGTAATTAAAAACCAAAATATAGAAACCAAAGCTTGAAATAATATGGAGTAGATATAAGTATAAAGAGCATTTCTATAATTTGGTCCCTCAGGCAAAAGTATGTCATCTTATAGTTGTGATTTTTCTAGCAATTTTGAAGTTATTTCACTGAATTGTAATTTAGCTGGCCAGGGAGGGTAATTGGGTAATAGCTGGTCCCGTACTGTATATACTCCGTAACTGATCTAGAATTGGCATTTGCTGCACGTGTAATGATAGTCACTATTGACACCAGCTGTCTTTCCAATACCAGTATTGCTATTAGAATAGAAAGTTATACCGCCTACTATAGAGGGCTTAACACCTGTGGTACGTATTGGGATTTCGGCTGTGTCAACATTGATTATCCGGGATCTATCAATGTCGGTCTCAATAGCCATTAAGTTATCAATGAGCACATTCTTACCCCTGACTGTTGTTAACTATCGGGGCAGAGTAATTGATATGCAATACGACATATATAGTAGACTAGTGGTAAACTCCCCACGTACCCAAGAGGCAGAGGTAAGGCAGGTCTTTGGTAGTTGCTGCTTGGCAGACATGAAGTTCCAGATCCGACCCCAGGCGAGTCTTTTGTACTGTACCTTGCATCGAAACTAGAACATTTCGAGGGAGGGGAGTTTACGCCTTCCTGAGACTACAACCATAGCTTAGTCCCGCCAGCGAATAAACAAGTTAAGCCGTACGGGTAAGCTGCAACCTTATTCATAGGAGCCATGTTAAATTTATTTGCAAGGCAGTTTGATGGCAATAGACCCTGAGTAAATCACCTACTCCTGACGTCCTGGCTCAAACGATAATCCATACATACAAGGAAAAATCTCTACCAAGTCTACTGCGGTGATTCTCTTGCTGCATGAGGAGATAATAGGTCTCATAAGAGGGGTTTGCCTGCGAGAAACTACCAGTCGGATATAACTATCAAGGGATTAACTAATATGCAGCATTCTATGACAGCTACAAGCTTTCATAGAAGAAATATGTAAACATTGAACCGCAATCCTGTATGCAGAGAGACTTTGATTTGAGACATGAGGGATCTGAGATAAACACCACAGAACGGTTACCTTTACTCGTGACTGGGCCCTGCTTCATCCGGATATAGGAGTGGATCTCCCTGCTCCCCAAGGTTGATGAAGTCTTTAGGTGCGCTGTTGTTGTCGCAGGCCTCTCCACCCTTAATAACCTTGGCAGGATGATTGTGAGTGCGCTTCCCAGTATGGCTATTGTGGAAAACCCGCACGGTAGTGCCGTTGCGCTCCTTGCATTCGTTGAAACTGACATCATTGATATGACTGAGGAGCGTTCTTTCGCGAGCTAATTTACGCTTGGAAAAGTCCAATTTATCCAAGGCGCCGGTCAGCCCATCCGTGCTGTCGGACAAACTAGGGTAAGTTTGTGTGAGCCATGGATGTTCCAAGCATTCATCGACAGTTATGCGCTTGTCAACATCGACCGTGAGCATCTTATCAATCAAATCCAAAGCCGGATCCCCAACAGAATCCCAATATGGTGATGGGTAGTCGAAACGACCCATTTTGATTTGTTGTGCTAGGGTGTAAGGGTTTTCCGGGGTGTAGAGTTCGTCGGAAAATGGCGGAAATCCGCAGAGGCATATGTAGAGAACCACCCCAAGCGACCAGATATCAACTGCTTTAGTGTACTTACGCCGACGAGACTCCTGCAGTATCTCGGGCGCGACATCTAGAGAATGAGCTTGAATTTTTTAAGTGAGAAATGAGGAACTGGGTATCTTACAGCTTGGCGTCCCGCATCTGTAAGACAAAAACTATAGATTAGCAAACATGCTTATCGAAACCACATGTTGTATGTCCGACATACAGAGTAGTTGTGAAGGAATCTTCACCAATTATCTTGGCTAGTCCAAAGTCTCCAAGCTTTACTGTCAATCTTTGATCTGCAACGAGAATATTCTCTGGTTTGATGTCTCGGTGAACGATACCACGATCGTGCTAATACGGATGGATCAGCACCTAACCCAGAAATGATACAGTAAGGGTCCATCGAACACATACCAAGTACTTCAGACCTTCAAATATCTGGATGAAGATATGGCGGGTCTCCGTTTCCGAGAATCTTTGTTTGCTGACGATCAAGTTGAAAAGTTCACCTTCCGAGGCAAGTTCGAGTACAAGATATACCCCATCACTCTCATCGAATGTATCTTTGAGACATAGAAGGTTCGGATGACTGACTCCCATCAGAAGCCCAATCTCTTGTTGCAAGGCGTCGGTCTGTGATTTTTGAGAGTCACTTGAACGTTTCTCGAACAGTTTGACCGCATAATGTATTCCCGTAGCTCGTTCCACGCAAAGGTATACGCTGGCGAAATGTCCTTTCCCAAGTTGTTGAAGAATTCGATACTGTTGACGAAAGCGATTTGTATCCCTTATCCGAGGATATCTGAAAACAAAGCGTGCTTGGTCCAGAATTGTGATCTCGTCACCATCTTCGAGTTCTCGATGTTGGTTACGTCCAACAATTGCATCGTTGACAAAAGTCCCATTGCTAGACAGATCCTCTAGGACAGCAATTGAATCGCCTTTCTTATTCTCAGGGAACAACAGAAAATGACGGTTGGATACAGTGGGAATCTTTAGGACAAGATCTGACTCCTTGTTAGTAATCTGTGCATTGAACATGGTATCATTCATATCTTACTGACCACACTCACGATGGCGACCTACAAGATAGCCTCCCGGTGCCAGCAAACTCTCTCGCTTGTTCTTTGACTCAGGCTCCTTGGGATGCCCCTTTTCTCCTTGCGTGACTCCGGTAGATCGAAGCCCATGGCTCTCACATCCACTCCTTTTGCGCAGAACCAGAGCAGCTGGAACCTTATCGTCGAGGGGAAGGAGATAACCCCAAACCCCTTCCGCAGCTTCGTCTTCAACTTCATCGGCAAATGCTCTAGGTGGATAAACAAATTGAGAGAGGGCCTGTGTATCGTGAGGCGGGGATGGACTCGGCTGAGGAATACCAGTACTCAAGGGCGTACTACACTGTTGGACGCTTTTTTTGTCATTCGCGGTTTCAGCTAGCTCTTTATCGTCGTTTCTTGTGCTCAACTCCTGCTGGACTATAGGCGTAGGTAGGTATAACTGATCGGTTGGCTGTGGTGGTAATTCTTCAGACCGTCGCGCTTTCTTGAGGTGCTTCGAATCATGCTCCTTGTTGGCCTACAGTGAGATTTCATTCAATTAGCCTTGCGTGATGAGGAATTAGCACGGAATCGGTAGATTGATGTACCCTTCCGCGCTTAAGAGAGCTTCTCTCATTTTGTGGTGTCATTGTTCCGCCTTTTACATCATATCAAATTTCCAACTTGCATGTAATATCCTCGGATCCTATGGTCTGCACAAGACTGGTTCGTTCTAAGATTCTGTTTGAGACTAGCTGGAGTTACGGCAGGAGGTTCCGCAATTGACATGTAGTGGCGGCTTTCTCAGAACCCTCGGCCTGCTACATCCACCTGTATAAGGGACAGGAAAGCAAGAGCTTAAAATGGACTCCAGAGAATGATTGAGGAAAGAAGGATAGAGAAAGGGAGAAAAGATAAGGAACCTTGAAGATAAGGAAAGGAAGTGTGGGAAGGAGATGGCGGGCCGACTGGCTCAATTTCGGCGAGGAGCGAGAGAGTGATGGAATCCAAGGGACTTTGAAACGCTCACAATGCGGGAGATACTGCTGTGGACCTGCCGTTAGGCAATCAATGCTACTCAAGCTGCAACTAGCGTGTTACTGACTGAAGTCGTTCTCCGCTGCGCCTGAGACCTTCATCCAAGCTTTTATCTTGTGTATATATAGACAAACCAATGGCACACTACAGGACGAAGTAAATTGGGATGACGGGCTTATAGTCATAGTGATCTACTCATGTGGAAAACTAACCAGCTGGAAAAGCAGATGTGATGGTCAACTATGTTCTGGTAACCAGTTTATCCGGTATACGGATATACGTTAGTGCGAGTGACCTTGGTAGTCTCCAACGTGTGTTGCTCTGAGAGCGATGATAGTACAGTATACGTACAGAACTTTCGACGTCAGATTAAAGAGAGCTTATGGTAGACTGATTGGACAAGTCTTAAATGTATGGAAATCCAGGACATTACTAGGTACGCACGATCGGTTGCTGAAAGATTCACTACAACCTCAAGGTTCCGATTACAAGTTTGCTTTCAAGAGCCCATCCGTTGTTGTGAGCTAAATATCCAAATGGTTTAAGTTACATAGTACCATGGTTTAATTTCGGAAGCATTATGAGCCGTCTAACACTATGCAGCAATTTATAGCCCCCAGAGCTTTTAAAGAAGAACAATCCCCCCCCCCCCCAAATTGAGGCTGACCATTTAGGGGGCGGAAACCCTCAGGGGTAGTAGGTAAGTCTAAATACGGGCCGAGGTACAGTACACCTCCGTAATATTGGATCCACCTACGGAGTGCAACTGCCAGATACGCACTACCTGCGATATATGAATTCGTAAGCTACCCCGTATTCTCTCTATATTAGTCTTGCAGCCACTGCTCTGTATAACTACCACGTCGACTTAGAGAACTCATAATCACGACTGCTCTTAAGTCAATCCATAAGGAGCGTCTTCATGATGGTCGAGTAGGCCAGCCGCAATCCACTCTCATGCTGCAGATACTGATGAATTCCGTAGGCTTCCCTCAGCTATTCGACGAGCTGCGTTGGGAAAGCTTGCAACCCTAGCAGCCCAAGCTCCAGAACACGATGCGGGCTCGATGATAGAGCGCATCACGCAACCGTTGAAACGGCCTGCTAATCGGCCAGAGACCACACTTGGCAGGCCCCTGCCAGGCCAAGGCCCATCACGGACTTCCATGGTATGCTTCGCCCCAATTAGTGAGTACGTTGAGGACCATGAGGACTGACATTCCGGTAGGGTACCAGAGAGTTAGACGTGATAATTGCCCTATGTAGAGCGTCGCATTTCACCGCAACTCCCCAAAATGCATCGAAGATCGCGGCGCAGCTGTGTTCATACCTCCCAGAATCACACAGCCAGTCCTTCCGCTCTTCGCCCTTTTTGCATAACGTGAGACCTTCTCCGTGGGAGGCGCTCACTCATAACCTTACCTCGGCTCTCTTATCATTGGGCTTCAAATATGCAGAGCTGCGTACTGTTGTCTTTGGTGCCCTCAGCGCATACTTAAAAAGTTGCGCCGAGGCCGTCGATGCCGTGGCGCCCTCTCAGCGCTACGAAGCTGAAACAACAAGACACGAGAAAGGGCATGAACTGGCCCGTATCTTATCAATCACCATGTCTCTTGTCGGCTTCATGGGAGCATTGGCCCGCTTCGCTTCATTCTGTTCTACCGACGAGAAACTTTATCTTCTTGAAACATTACACTCAATACTCTCGGGCCAATACATGATAGCCGTGGAGACCGCTTCTTCTACGGTGCGCAACCCAAGTATTTCCGATGCTTTTGTGGGTGACTGGAGACGATACACTCACCGCTATACTACCGATGGACGTCCTGTTGGGGCCATGTTGTTACAGGAAGGCTTAGCACACTTTGTCAAATCCTGCGCCGTGTCTCTGAAAGGAACACATGACCTGTCAGACGAAGACCTTCCGAATGGGTTTCTTGTTGGTCGTCAATCAACCAGGACTCTTGATGACGCCGAGTTGGCCCTCGTCGATAAGCTGGCAACAATTATAGCGGAGGAAATGCGCCTTCTGGAAGATGGATCAGACTACTTGCAGCTTGGCTCGCCTTGGCAGCAGCGGCTTGCCTTCTCCGTGAAAAAGCTCGCCCTTATTGGCTACCTCAATTGTGTCGTTGTAAGCGAGGATACCACAAATAGCGAAGACTTCCTTTCGTGGCTTGAGGCAACGATTGCAGACCCGAATCAGATGTCGTATCCAGACCTAGCGGCAACTACGCTAAAAAGCATTGCGATTATCTCTCGGCTGTCCCCTAGCAGCGCATCGTTCGGCAGTCGTTCCCTCTTGAAGTTTATCGTTGATGGAAGCGTGCCCGCTCGTTCGACTAGCCTTGTTGCTGCACAATGTCTTGCCTATGTTCTAAGTATTCTTTCCCAAGACGCAGTCATAACAACCCTCTATTCGCTGGGAAACGCTTTGAGCCATGGCTCCGGCTCAGACAAACCCCATCAACTACAGCTTCTAGGTGACGGGACAACTCATGGGAGCACGCTTGCTCTCTTGTCCCGAGGCTTGAGTGATAGTGCCATCTCCTCAGCTTGTGATGAGGGAGAAACAGGGCATTATGGTAGAGTGATACAAGCCGTTGTGACGATTGCAGGTAAATGTGATGATGGAAAAATAAGTGCTTTGGCACAGTCGATGCTGCTGCAAAAGATTGGGAAGGTGAATATCACAGTGGATGCTTATATCATAAAAGAATCTGCTGCATTGTCCTTAAGTACTGGCCCGGCTGAGTTCCAGCTTCTTCTGAAATTTTATGATCGTGCGTACAAGGACAGTGTCGCAAAAGGCTATCTGAATGTTGCCGATGCTGTGCAGGGCGCAATGACGTTTCTTTCCGTCACGCTTAAGAGAAACTCCGTCTTGTATAAGATTTATCTCATTCACCTGCTTGAAGGTGTGGTCAATAAAGGCGCCGCTACTGATATCGACCATGACCACCAGAAGGAGATCTTACTCGCCCCTGACGATATCGGCCCTTTCTTGAAACCACTGGCATTGCTTGTATCTTCAGGAAATGACTGGACCAAAAATTCGCAATCAGAAATGTGCTACGATCAAGATGTGCTAGCTCTTTTCCGAGATGCCTGGTTCAACATTGCTATTCACGGTATAACGCTCAATTCTGCTGTCGCTCAGCATCATTGCGAGGAACTGCGCCTACTTGCCAGACACTCGCCTCCTCTCGTCTCCGAAGATCGCATGGACATGCTGGAGAGTGATGTGGAACTGAATACGATGCTCAGGCGCGGAATGAGCCAGCAGCGGATCCTGGACCAAAAAAGGAAGCTGATGGCTGAAGTTCCTGGCCGAGAGGTCGAGATCAAACGCCTCAGCTATCCGCGAGTGATTTTCCTTAGCGCTACCTTGCTAGTTGAAAGTCTTCGCGCTTCATCGGGAAACTGCACGACAATCCTCAGCTATTTCAGAGACCCTGTTCTAGCCACTGCTGAAATGGCTAGCTGCATGGGTGCTATCGCTGAGAAGGTTGTTTCATGCCATCTTTCATTGACGCTTGCTGGGAGATTGGAGCAGTTTTCTGTGCCGTTCCTATCAAGGGAGCTTGCTGGCTTTTTTGTCGCTTGCTGCCATCGTGTGGAACGAGTTCAGAAAATTGCCGTCCTCTGCGCAGACAAAATAATGCGAGAGTGTCCTTCCGCTCTGTGTGAAAGGACATCTCTCTTTGCTTTGCTTGAGCTCTTGACTGTCATGTGGCAGTCTTGTTTTGAAGGCGAACTTGACGAGTACGAATGGAAGCCATCTTTCACCTCTCCTACTGGTCTTGTCCGAGTCAATCTACCCGACAACTATAGCTTCAGAGAGAGGACGCTGGAAGTTCTTTTAGAGCGTGCCCGGACGTGGGTGATCGCAGTTATGAGTATCTCGCCTCTAGATGTGAAAGGACTTCTCCAGGTATGAGATGACAATATTCGGACACAAACAACCCGTAACTAACCCTGCCTTGCAGGCGTATCTTTCCGTATCTGATGGCAACTGCGGAAATGGCCAGATCTCTCTGGGTCGGTCATTCGCTTTGGAAATGGGTGCGCTGATCCCAAGTAGTAATCAACGGCTTGGTACGTTCCAATACATCATTTGCCTGCCAGATCATCTCTTGTGGTAGAGATGCACCGCCACGCATGAAACTGATTTCTCGCAGGATCTGTCAAGAGTGGTAGTGTTGGTGACCTACTGAACATAGCCTCCGGGTTTATATCTCAGTTATCCACACGCGAGCGATACAAGTTATCGGAGACATCGATTCTCGATGGCACCGTGCAGGGATTAGAAAACTGTTCTGGTTAGGCTTCCCCTGCAGCTCGGTGTTTTCCTTGCTAACGTACCAACATCAGACTTTGATGGCTCTGCGCCAGGTTCTTCTAATTTAATCATGGCTAAAACCATGGAAGACAATCTTTATAAACTCCACACACATTTGAGGGATGGAAAAAACGTCCCTATCACACAAATTCGGAATGTACTGCGACAGGCTGCTGCCCTTGTGAGTGACCATGCTGAGAACCATGCTTCTCTTGCCCGTTATCTAGTCATAGTGCCTTTCGAACAATTTTCGCAAGAGTCAATTGACACCGGGGCGTCTCTTTGGTTGAGTGTGATGCATGAAAATCCCAAGATGTGTGTCAAATTGTTATCCGAAATAATAGGGGCATGGGAAAGGTCAATATACTGCAAAAGGAACCTGTTCAATCCATCCTTCAAGTGAGTATACATCTATGAGAAGGTAGACACACATATGCTAACGCAGCCTGGAAAAAGCTGTATGGATCCATTTTTTAGCAAAATTGAATTATTACCCACCGACAGGACCCTTGCAACACGGAACCAGGAAAAAGCCCAGGATGAGCTCATACCACACTTGCGAGTCCTTGAGTTCTTTGAAAGTCATTTCAACGCCACTCGGCTGGCAAACGCTCAAGCCCTGCCTTTGTTTTGCCGTCTTGTTGACGCGACAACGACAGGATTGTTGCACGCTAGTAGTCACCCTCTAGCGCGAGAGCTGCATTTTCGTGTTATCTTGTTTAGTCTTAAAGTTTTGGGTGACTGTGGCTCACAAGATGCGAGTTTCCAATGGAAATTGAAGGATCAGATCTTGTCAGCTGCCTTGACCTGGTTCAAGACCTCGCCAAGGTATTTCACATGCGATCTCTTGGGACAAGCGCCTTTATTAATCTTTGGAATCCAGATGGTCTTTCGGAGGAAACCGCCTCCAGATTAAGGCTGAAGACAACATCCTCCGCGACGTTATTTCTGCCTTAGGGGGAATCTCTGCTATCTCTCGCCAAACACAAGGGGCCTGTAGATCATTGCAATCAAAACAGGATCTTCTCCATGTCTTCATAGAGAATGAAAGATCTCGCCTTAGAGTGTGGCTGTACCCACTGGACTCTGATCGGAAGCACACGAGCCCACAGTCATCCTCACCCAAAGGCCTTACCGAGGTTTGCTACTCTAAAACACTCAAAATGGTGGCCAAAGACAAAACATGCTAACTAGCAGCCAGGAAGCCACGACCCTTTTGAAACTCGCTTGGACTGAACATCCAGGCTTGGCGATCCAGCTGTCAACCCGATTCCCATCGGCGAAGCTCAAGAATGATGTTCGCTGGTTGATGCTTAATTTCCCCGAGAAGGCGATTGACGAGCCTGAAGGTCTGGAGCTGATTTTCGGTACGAATCTTCCTGCTGACGTCTCGAGTCAACTGAAGGCAAGTTCAACGTTCGGCCCTAGTCTATTCGGTAAAGCTAACGTGAGTAGTATTTACTTTACTGGGCTTCAGTCAATCCAACCGAAGCTCTGACCTACTTCTTGCCCGCTTATGGCAATCATGCCTTCATACTACAGTATGCAATGAGGGCTCTAGAGAGTCATCCCATCGACGTGCGCTTCTATTTTGTCCCACAACTAGTCCAAGCTCTGAGATACGATTCCCTGGGCTATGTCGAACGTTACATATTGGAGACTGCTAAGCTGTCTCAATTGTTCGCCCACCAGGTCATCTGGAACATGAAGGCAAATTCCTACAAGGACGAGGATTCGCAGATCGTGAGTTGATAAAACGTGGAGCCACCACGAGTATAAGAGGACTAACAATTGTTTGCAGCCGGATCCACTTAAGCCAACCTTGGACAGATTTATGGATGCTTTGATTGCAAGCTTCACAAATGAGGAACGTGAATTTTACGAAAGGGAATTTACCTTTTTCAACGAGATCACTGGCATTTCAGGCAAGCTCCGACCGTATATCAAGAGAAGCAAGGCTGAGAAGAAAGAGAAGATTGAAGAAGAGCTTCGCAAAATTAAGGTGGAGGTCGGAGTATACCTCCCAAGCAACCCCGAGGGCGTTGTCGTGGGTATCGACCGCAAGTCTGGAAAACCTTTGCAAAGTCATGCCAAAGCACCATACATGGCGACCTTCAGAATCCAGAAGACCAGGACACGAGCACAAGGAGTCCACAAAGAATCACGCTCACTTGCACAAGGTTGCAGCGATTTGTCAATCTCGGGGCAGAGTCTGTCAAGTGACGAGACCTACGAAGTCTGGCAATCGGCCATTTTCAAGGTTGGCGACGATTGTCGTCAAGACATGTTGGCTCTGCAGATGATTGCTGCTTTCCGAAGCATATTCGCAAGCGTTGGGCTTGACGTGTGGGTGTTCCCTTACCGAGTGACCTCTACAGCTCCTGGGTGTGGGGTTATCGATGTTCTTCCAAATTCAATTTCGCGTGATATGCTGGGTCGTGAAGCTGTTAATGGTCTATACGACTACTTTATCTCTAAGTACGGTGGAGAGGATTCTATACGGTTTCAAGAGGCACGCACAAACTTTGTGAAGAGTATGGCTGCTTATTCCGTCATCTCCTATTTGCTTCAATTCAAAGATCGGCATAATGGAAACATCATGATCGACGATGCAGGCCACATCATACATATTGACTTCGGATTCTGTTTCGATATTGCACCCGGGGGCGTGCGTTTCGAGCGCGCGCCTTTCAAACTGACATCTGAGATGGTTGCTGTGATGAGTGGTAATAATCACTCACATAATTCCCCCAGCGGCGGCTCTGGCAGTGGCATCGGCCTGTCTGGAAGTGGCTCTCACAATCCCACTAGTACTCAGCCCTACATGTGGTTCGAATCTCTGGTCGTGAAGGCTTTTCTTGCGTCGAGGCCGTACAGCGCCAAACTTTCTCACATAGTGTCCTTGATGCTCGATAGTGGCTTGCCCTGCTTCAAGCCCGACACGTTGAAAAACTTCCGAGACAGATTTGTACTTGAGAAGAGTGAGAGGGAGGCAGCTGATCACATGCGTGAGCTCGTGCGCAAGTCGTACATGAGCGTTTCGACGAAGGGATACGATCAGTTCCAATTGTTGACCAATGGCATTCCATATTGAATCAAGCGAGTCAGCTTCTCAGCATGTACTGAACATATTTGGTCATGATCTTGTCAGACGAGTTTATACTCTATCTCTATCGACGGTGTCTCAAGAATTTATCCACTTTGTACAGTACATCGGCGTGTGACCAAGGGCAAGAATGGGAATTCACGCTCATCTCAAAGACTCGATAATCTTCATATAGATCAGTCGCGTGATACACTCTGAATATAGACTCACTCGCAATAGGGACGATAACCGTAAATTCTCTGTATTGATCATTTATAAGGAGTGGCCTGGAAATAGGGAAGAGCCGCAAGATAGAATGCTGAACCTGCCAGTCAAAACTGCCCTCGAGGCACAAGCTCAAAATAGAAGCTTTTCTCCGAATGCATTCATTCGGTTTGCCAGCAACTCCCATTGACCGAAGCCAAGGGCGACAAGAGTGTCAACAAGCAGATTAATTGAACGAATAATCCTGGGGAGATGCGTTTTACACAAGTCATGACATGGAGGAACACAGGAGGGAGGGTGAAACATGACCGAAATTTCATAACTGCCTTTTATGACTCATACAGGTTTCAAGGTTTCTCTGGTTATTTACGTCGCCAGCCTGCTTCGTAAATAGGCTCTACAATCTCCTCGGAATCTCTTCTTTGCCGATAACAAATTCCACCTATGAGGCCATGGTATGGCAAAACAGAGTAACAAATTCTGAACCCTTTGCTCTGAAAGACATCAAACGTTGACTACAATTGGGGGCAGTAGCAGGCTCGAATTGGATTGTGAAGTAAACCGGCACCACTAATCCATGAAATCGCCGCGGAGAATCTTCTCCTGAAAAAAATCAGGCTTATTCTGTTTGGGTTGCTTGGGAATTTCGCGAGCCGGTTGCTCCATCGAAGCAATTGAGGTAGCCCGCTGATGGTGACATTGCTGGCCGGAGCCGGTTAAGGGCTGGGTTTGAGGGGCGTTGGGTGAAGTTATTCCCAAGGATGGGGCACGCTCGGCCCGGGTTCGCAGGGCTTCAGACCAGTTGAAGCCTTCGCCTATTTGTCTCCAAGCCACGTTAGACATCTCGATTTCGGGAAGAACGACATTTGTACTTGCAACAGTTGACTCTGTGGGGCTATGGAAGCTTTTGCTACATGTGGGCGGTAAACGTCGCCTGCTAGACACAGGAATTCCTGGGGAAGGATATCTACCATTGCTGATGCTGCCAGCACGAGCATCTCGTAGCGCCTGCGCGCCAAAAGAAAGACGTCGCGCGAATGGAGAGTGAGGAGCGGCACTAGATGGCCCGCCACTCGCGCTGTCTTCAGCGACAGCGTCTTCTAGATTTGCCGTACCGGATTCCACTGAGCTGGAAATGCTGCCATGCCGCATGCTTTTGCTTCCCCATGGGGACGTTTGGTTCGGAGATCCAGCGAGTCCCAAGGTGGTGATGGACAATCGGCGACCTTGATTGGGTTGTGCATTACCCACTGAACTAGCCATAGAGCCCGTGGGTGCGCCCGTAGAATGTCCCTGGCTGCCGGACCTAGATAGATAATCCGTGAAGGTGAGGCCTGAGGCCAAGGATGCTCGGCGTCGGTGCGCAGAGGAAGATGGGACCGAGATAGGGTCGGTTGAACGTTCATTTGACATGATGCCAAGGCGCGCGTCAATTGACCAATAAAGAGGTAGCGAGAATGATATCTTAATCACATAAATCAAAATGATGGCAAAGGATTCGAAGAAGGTATCGTAAGTGAAAGGAAGGGAGAGGGGAGAAGGGGAGGGAGGATAAGAACGAGCAACGCCTTATGCGGAGAAGCACGGTGCGTTTGGGAAGGGAGTAAGGTTTCCTAACTTCAGCAGAAGCCCTCACTCAGGTGATAACTTGCTGTGGACGATATAGCTTGACTCAGGCTGGGAGCCGCTCTAGGTACCGCTCTGGCTGAACAGCTTCACGGCCACACGAGGAGAACGTCGGAAGAGAACTGGAGCAAATCTGCATACATCAGTCGACCCGCCGGCACGTTATGCTGATAGTGAAGAACATCCAGGAATCACTGGGACTCGGCGAGTGGCGGTGGCGACACCAGATGAGATGCCGTGATGGGGGTTGATGAGATAGATGGGATGGCATGGGCTTGACCAGGGGACAATGGGAGGTTGCACGATAGGGCAGAAGTAAAGCGTTGAGACCAATTGTTCAACTCACCGGTCCAAATGAAGCCCAGCCGAGAAACAATCTGCAAATGTTCCGAACAGCCAAGAAGGGGGATGGATGATAGTTGCTAGCGAGGCTGTGAGGTCCTGAAGCTTAATTGTAGAAAGGGAGAAAGGAAGGAAATATAATTAGATCAAAATTGAAATGGGAGGTTTGGGGTGATGGGGACGGATGAAAGAAAGAGAGAAAGAAAGATAAATAGAAAGATAGAGATACTAGGGAAGGGGAAGAAGGGGTGGATGGATTGAAAAGGATAGGAGGGAGGGATGGAGGGAGGGAGGCGGCGGAGGAGGAATTTCAGAGCGGTGGGGAAATATATTAGATAGGAAGATGGATGGATTGAATAGCAACTAACAGGTATGTACTCCGTACGGTGTAACTCAGTGCAGGTTGCTTGGTTTGATGGTTTGCTTTTTACCCCACAAAATAGAAAAGCGGTCTAGCCTTTTCCGTCCGCGAATCTACTTATACCTAGTTCTATACCCCGTTACCCACCCACCAGTTGTCTGGGTCGATGATTCATCATTGGCTTAGTGCATCCATGGTACTTAGTACTAGTAGTTGTTGTTATGTACTGTATGTACCGGATAGGTACAAGTACACAAGTACCCGTACTTATTTATGTACTGTACAGTACTCCGTACGGAATCTTTTTTCTTCCCTACATGCTTACACATGCTATACACATGCTGTGGTATATCTATCTATCCCTGGGAGATCCGAGGGCGATTGATAATCGTGATGATGATTTAAGTTGATACTGTAACCACTTAATATTTGGATCTGAGAAGTGGACGCCCGCGTGGTGTCCAACCAAAGGTGTGAAGGATCGCTTGCCGGGTCGTGATGAAGCAGCCCCTATCAGCTTTCGTTTGCTTGTGTGCCGGTGTGCCTCTCTCATTCTTCCGGGCATATTTCGATTCGCTCTCTTGTATATTCGTCCATTATATTACTCTGTTCTTCTTTTCCTTTTGCCCCTGACACTTCGACAATCGATCCACTCTCTCACTCTTGGGCATTCGAATGAAATAACTGTACGAGTTTCCACCCCACCCCCGGTTCGATCTCGGTTCCATCACGGGCTATCTTGACTTCTCGATTCGCGTTCCACGGATTCCGTAGTCCCCTGGTACGGTGAAATGGAACCCGGGTGCTCGATAGCCATCGTATCCTGAACGGTTTCCCAATCAACTGTGGGCTCGGCTCACTGGTATCCTCCGTCTGTGTACCTGCTCTATCGACTTTCATGTCGCCCTCATCCTCGGATGAATCCGCCTCCCAAAAGATAGTCCCTCGTATAGAGTCATTGATGACTCGTCCCTTGGCGGCAGTCGACGTTGCTGGTGTAGGTGTAATGTCTGGTTCTTCTAGCTTCAACATGTTATTGGGTCGCGGTGGTGCCTCTGTTGCCAAGCGCTCATCGTCCTGTATAGGTGACATCATACGAGCGTATCCGTAGTATTCACCAGACTTATTAGCGGAGAAGATCAGGTAAACATCATCGGTGTTCTACTCAAGGTCATCAGACAGTTGTCAGTTTGGGGATTATTTTGCCCTCGCTCTCTCCTCTGGTTCAGTAATGTCCTCACCTCATAGGCTTGATTCAATTGATCTTCATTGTGAGTTTGTGTAGCCCAGATGTTGGTTTGTCGACTGTGTTCCAAATCTTCCACGGTCAAGCTCTTGACAACGAAGTATCTACTCGTCATTCGGGCACTTGGGCGTCTGGTATCTCCGAATCTCCGGTATGCAACCGACTCGGTATCATCGTCAATCATCAATTGCTTGCTATCGCTCTGGTCTTGAGATGGCGAAGGTGTAGCAGAGCCTATGGCTTCGTGACTCGAGCTGGCTGGTATGGTTCCGTGTCGCAGTCGGCAAACAAGGCGCGCGCCGTGGAACCTAGAATCATTGAATCTTGACAGAGCAGCAGCGCACGCAGCGGCCGTTGTGTAATTGATAAAGGCACAATTACTCTTGGAGATAAGAAAGACGCTTACCAGCTCCTTCATTGCCTCCTGGGAGAAGTGATCTTTTAAGTCCATAATATTGGTTGCGGGAGGCAAATTGCCAACCCACAAAGCATGGCTCGACTGCTTGGGCTTCCTTAAAGGTCCACGCAACGTGTTTGACCCGGGAACCTGGGACGGATGCGAGGCTGCATCTGCTAATCATTAGCCCCCGATATACCCACTTGATTCGGTTTAGTCTGGCGTGGAGTGTTGCTGCCAACCTACCGGTCGAAGAGTGCTGGGAACGCATAGGCGTGGAACCGTCCACTATTGTTTTCGAAACGTCATAGTCCGTGTTGCTGTGTCTGGTTTCCCTCTCCAAATCGGTAGCCTTCTCAGCAATATGACCGCGTAGTGGCCGGTGATTGGAACCCGACATACTTGGCGGTGCGGGAATAGACTTAGATGCTGTCGCGCTCGAGGTCTGCGGATAATATCCCTGGGGATACGAGGGTACCTGACTGGGCGAATGGACATTCAGGTGGCTTGACGCGTTGGGTGCTAACGGTTGATACCCGGGAGTGCTATGTTGGATATGCGGGTCCTGGTGCTGGTGCTGCTGGTGGTGCTGCTGAACATACGGCGCATAGAATGGGAACGGGGCACCGAATGCCATGTTCGCGTTCATTGTAGCTGAAGCATAGGATGACAATGCATGTATAGGGTAAACAACCCCGTGAGGAAGGACGGAGGGGACGTATTGTTGTTGCATAGGATGCTGCTCGTAAAGAATAGGGTGAAGTTGGTAAGCAGGTAGAACTGATCTCGAACCACTTATATTCGAACCCGAATGTAAATTCCCTGGTGCACTGAAGGATGCGTAGACATGACCATCAAAATACGGATGTCTGTTGTCGGTCTGAGCAGCCTGGTTGAAGCGGTATGAACCTGACGAAGAGGTCAATCTGAAATCCTAAGGAGATTCAATTCTTGCTATTTGCTCTCCCCGTTGTCATAACCTTTACTCTTTTCCCTTCTAGCCCATCAAGCAAAAGTGGACGACAGGACTAGAGAAACTCACCCGGTGGTCGATAAGCAATCTCTGCTTCGTTGCCTTTTCCCGGAGATGTCGGTGGTTTAGTGCCATCCGCGACTTCCAGTCTGGTATTTGGCTGGGCCATTGGGGCGCGATCACTTGAGTTAGGCATGGTAGAACGATACAGGCTGAGAATGACCACCAAAAAGGCAAGTCTCACTGTATAAGTATGATCTCTATACATTAGAGAGAGGTGGTCGATAAAGGCAAAAGAGCATTCTGTCACATACCTTCCCCAGGACCTGTAAGCCACCAACAGGTCTTACGGGCTGCTCAAGGGTTGCTTGATGAACGACAAGCGGCTTTTCTGTGTCATTAACGCCGGTTAGAATTTTTTTGTAAAACAAGTCTTGACATACACAAGTCTTCGGACGCGTAAACTTCTGGAATCACAGATGAGTTGGGTAGTGAAGAGGCAGCAGACGGACATGTATAACTATCGGCGCAACAACAGAACAAATTGCAAAGCATATCAAGCTAGGAAGTCTCAACTCTGGCTTAGAACGAGGGCATGCACATAAGTGTAGTGGCTAGTGGGATGGTTACCATAACGCAGTGTTGAAAGGAACAGATCTAGCCCACGCACGCGCGCACACACACACACAAAAATTATGCCAATAATAGGCATTCGATGCCGGGCCCAGTAAGGAAATTGAGAGGAGGGGGTAAAGGAAAAATAAATAAAAAACCGTAAATTACTCCGAATACTTGGACGCCGACAGATTTCTGCGGAAGAATAAGGGTGGGCCGATCTGCCACCTGGGCGTAAATCGTTGTAATACCCTGAAAGAGGACACTCCAGCTGTATGGCCGAAGGACAAGGAGCCACAGAGCCACATTGTCAAGAGTCATGCACGAATCTCAGAGCAGCAGCCTCACATGTAGGGTGGAGAACAGACTAAGCGTCGAGGTGGAAGAAGTAAGAGATGGGTCAGGTTGGGTATGAGGAAACCGCAAGATTGGAGGCCATCTCATAGGCGGAAGTAGGGGGAATAGAAAACGGGGTATAGGTGCACGACCATAAGGGAGGAAAGAAAAGCTTGGGAAAAGGGTAATGGGAGTAGATGGTAGGCACTTGCAAGATGTTAGCCTCCCACATTCAGTAGAGTAGACCGCATCGCTGCCTTAGAGGAGGGAGGGAGGAGAATAAATGTTGCTGTGGACACTAGACAGGCAGAGGGCACCGGCCCGTGGTTAAGTAACTACCTTGTATCATGCCAAAGTAGAAGATCCG